ACAGCGGCGGCTCTTGCCTGACAACACAGCCGTAGCGTCTGCCTCCCATGAGGCAGCAGCAGGCGGGAGGAGGGGAGACCGCCATGCCCCCAGAGCAGCCTCTGCTGAGGGCAGTTGTCTTCCTCCTGCCCTCGCTGCATGTTTGAAGAGCTCAGGGCTGGGACACATTCAGCACAGGGCACCACAGCCTGCAGGTTCCCTCACAGCACCTGTACCAGCTGCAGCAGGTCCAGGGCATCCAAAACATCATTTCAAGGGTGGGCTGAGACCAAAAACACCCCTGGGGCTGGCACCCACTAAGTGCCCTCCCCTGAGACACACTCTGAGCCCAACAGGGAAATCACCTCTGGCCTTGGGGACACCTATGCAGAAGCAGGGAGAACTCTGGGGCTTCCTGGTGTCCCCTGCCCGGACAGCCCTCTTGAGTTAGAAGAGCTTTGGGATGATGTGGCAGATCAGGTCATGACATGCAGCACCACGCTGGCACAGCAGACTGTGTGTAACTCCCAATGTGTGTTAATTAATGGCCACAGAGAGCAAAGGCAATAATAAAGTTATAATGCTGTCCCACCAGTCTTCTCCATGCCAGCTGTTCCCTGAATCCCTCACCTCTGGCTTAATCCTACCATATTTTCTGCCCTTTGAGGACTGTTCACCTATAATCAGGCATTTCTCTCCTGTTCAACTCATCCCCTTCGCTCTCTCCCACCTGAGGACTAAGACTGTTTCCAGATGGCAAATGCCATCTGTGCCTGCAGACACCGTCACCAAGACCCTCTCATCAGTGTCAGGCAACTCTTTTGGCTGCACATGGGAAAGAACTCGGGTGGCTGGGTTTTCTCGGACATGGGACATGAGGCCACACTGTCACCACTGCTGGGATGAAGAGTTTTAACTGCTCTAAGCCCAGACACGCAGCATTGGGGTGAGGTGGTGGTAAGGAAAGAAGATCCCTGAGACCTACTAGACTATTTATAAGGTAGAAGACAGTGGGGCTGGCTGTTTTTCTTCAAAATACGTTACTTCTTTTTAAAATCTCGGCTTTCTGAGTCACAATCACCATGTTCATTTAGGAAAGCAGTGTAGTTTGAAGTGAAGTGTGAAAATGTAAAGTGTGAGCTTTCAAAAATCAAAGGCAATTGAGATAAGAACCTAGGGCTACTTTTAATAAACCCTTTTTAAGTGACTCCCAATTTGGGAGATAAATGGGGAAGAAGGTGGAAGATATTGACTCACAATATTTGACTGCCCGTGTTTGATAATGAAACTCTGTTCTCAAGAGCAGCTTATGAATGGTTGCACGCACTTGTCATTCCTACAGTCAGACATAACCAACAAGCTTTTTGTTGCATCACCAACATTTAAAATGATAGCTGGTATCAATCTGTTCTAAACACGATACATGGATTAGAGACCTCCTCCATCTGGCTGCACAAATTAACCCTCCACCCCATAATCGCATGCTGGGGAAGAGTCACGTACACATCTGCCTTTAAGGAGGTTTTGCACCTGCAAAAATGTCTTCACAAAATTGTGCCCGTTTACAGCCTAATGCTGCACAACTGATAGCAGCAAGCCCAGGATCCAACCACAGCTCCACCCTCAAGCTAGTGTATTCATCACATTAAGAAATAAAAATAAAGCTATTTTCCTCTAACGTTGGTGATCAAACAGCATACCTGCACCAACAAAGGCCCCGACCCAGCTATGCTAACAGGGTACCCACCCTTGCCAACTCTGCCCCAAAAGGCTGTGCTTGGAGCTGGCTCCCCAACTCGATCACACATCTGCTCTGCAATTAGACCCACTCTCATTAGCAAACTCAGCTTTCTGCATCATCCAAGGCTCTTCTTTGAACATTACATAACTAATTACACACACAGAGATAAGGTTTGTTGAAAAGGCACTGCTCCCAACAGATCAAGCAATCTGCTGACGAGAGAAAGACCACATTTCTGCAGCCTCCTCTCTAGCCCTGAGCAAAGCTCCAGGGCAGCCTGGGTGGGGACAGCTGCTCTGCAACAAATTTCATCCTTCAGCCCTTACTCAATCGGCCCCACACTTCGTACCGGTGGGGCAGCAGGGCCAGCTGGCAAGGGCAGAAGCAATGCTGTAAGAGCACGTGTGGCACCCTGCAGTGTGTGGGGAGTGAATTTCATTGCTCTGTGAAATGTATAAAATGCGTTTGCAATCATTAGAGTCTGCAGAATTAGGTATTTCAGGTTTTAGGCTCATCTTTTGAAAGTCTGTTGTAGGTTTTCCTTAGGAAGCAAGACTTGGGGAAGCTACAGGTGAGGTGGTTGTTCAGCCTTCCTGGAGACAGCACTGGACCTGGTTGCTTTTCTTGCCTGCTCCCTTGTGTTGGCCTGGCTCTTCTCCAGCCCCACAGCTAGCTGGCTCAGGAGATTAAGGCTGGAAAAAAGTTGCTGGTCTTTTCTGTGGTATTAAATTGCCTGTTCAGTTAAGGTCCATGGCTGGCTCACCCTGGAGTCTGCCAAGAGCCTGCACCAGTGCCAGGGAAGTAGATGCTCCTCCAGAGGCAGCCAAGCTGCGCCCCAAACAGCACCAGATGGGTGCAATCCCACCCCAGGGGCTGAGCTGCTCCCAGGGTTGCCCCTGCCAAGGCGTCCATTTGTACATCCCCTGCTCTGCTCCTCACCACCCATCCCACCCCCGGTGCTACCTTCCAGCTCCATCAGCATACAGAACTTCTTAGCCCAGAGGAAAAATAATTAGGAAGAAGAAAGCGGGTGGCTATCTTCTTGGGTAATGAGCCAAATAAATTCATGGAAGGAAGGGCCAGCCACAAAATGAAGGGGATGGGGGATAAAAGCACCCCTTTCAGAGGCAGCAGGCTGTTAGAGCAGCTCAACTGCTTAAAGAAATGCAGCCTCAGGGTTTCTTTAAAATCCCAGTGCAGAGGAAACGTTTAGCCTCAGGGGGTGTCAGATGACTTTGCAGAGAGCTCAGAGATTGTTCGCTCAAGTGTGCACTTCTCTGTTGGCCCCTCTCCCTACATCTAGCTGTGAGGGGCATTGCAGGGGCTATTGAAAGTACCAGAGATGCTGTAGAGAGCTGTTGGGAGGTCTGTATATGAAAAATTCTCATATGTGCAAGGTAATTGCTGGAAAAGAAAAAGAGGAAGAACCTGACGCCATTAACTGTGCAGTCCAGTGATATCTGAATTTGAGCTGTCTGAACTGTAAGTCCACACAGCACTACATGAACATTGCTATATAATTTTTGCCCGCATTACAGTTAATTCATGATACAGCTAATCCATTGAGATTAATCCACTGAGTTAGAGTGCATAAAGCTATAAACTCCTATGGATTCACATACTGAAAGGAAACAAGATGAATTATCCAAAACAAATACATGTGTAAGGTAAAACTCTGTGAGGTAATCCTGGCAGAAACTGTTTCCTTCAAAATTTCTTCCAAAGATTTCCCTGCATGAGGAAAAATTTGCATGCTTTGCATGTACACGTGCAGTGGAAACACTCTACAATGCTACTTGACAGCCCCCATCACAACTTAGTGAACTAGTATGTTGCAAACAATTACTCCATTTTAAGTTTTATATGAAGGCTAAAATAGATTTCAGTGCAGGCTTTGGTTGCAACTGCTCTCTGCCTCCTGTGCACACTAGTACGAGTCGCTGTTGCACAGCCCCGAAGGCCGGTTCACTGCCTGCCCCACCACAGTGCTCCCACCTCACGCCAGGTGCTTAGATGGTCGCCTTCCAAACTCCCTAGCTCCCCCCAGGGACTCTGGGCCCCAGTTTCTCTGATGACTGCTCCCTATTTAAAACATGGGTATGAATGTTTTACCCATACAACAGCAGTGTTAGGAAAACAAGGTACATTTGGAGAGAAAAGTGTTCAGTTTCTGCAGTGTCAGTACTCAAAATCAGAAATGCACTGCTCATATCTGCATGTGCAACACTCACGGCAGCTAACAGCGGTATTGACATCAGTGGCATGGGCAGCTCCTAATTCAATATTGAGTCATATCCACATGCAGGAGAGGACCTGTCTCCACTCCATTCCAAATACTGCATGCTCACACACCTGCAACCCTACCACTCCTCAGCCCTGCACCTTTCATCCCATTCAGAAGATTATCCCATGTGCTGGGCCAGAAATGCAGGTTCTGTTTTGGCTGGACTCCTGCATTTTGTGCTGTGCAGGAAGTTACAGGAACCAGAAACCAGGTCCCAAACCTGCCTGGATTCCTCAGAGCTGTCAGCTCCCTTATCTGCTTGGCATGGGGTGGGCAAAAGCAAGAATCTGACTTCCAGCCGCCATATATCAGCTTGCACACCACTGGTGAAATGACTGCACTTAGGTTACATTCTAGTGAATGATTAAGGTACCTTTAGGAAACTAATTCTAGGCAGCTATTCACTCAGCATGTGACTTTACTGAATCTTGTTTTGAGACTCGATGCAAAACACCAGGAACCTGATTTTCCAACCCAGATCTTTGGATCACAGACTAAAGAGGGAGTCCATATTTCAGACAGAAAAAAAACAAAACAAAAAAAAAAACAACAGAAGAGTAATGTTTCCTGGCAGCTCCTCCTCATCCCAGCCTGTACCTAAAGGTGACTTCATACAGCACAGGATGAAGTTGTGAACAGCATCTTGACACTAATCCCCATCCCACTCTCATCTCTTCCTTCTGCCCAGCCTCTCCTCCACCCCAACCTTTTCCACCCCAGAGCTGGCCTCATTCAGAAGAGCTATTTAGAAAGAAATACCACCTTGATCAATCCATGCTAAACAAAATTATACATACTGTGACATGATTGCACAGTTCCTCCCTGCCCTAACTCTCCTTCCACTGCCTCCCTCTCCGAAACTCCCCTGTAAGAGGGGCTGGGTTTGGTACTCACCCAGATGCCCAACCTTGTTTATCAGCCCCCAGCTCCCTGCTGGCACCCTGCTCCCCGGCTGGTGCATCGCCCACTGCACCTACGCTTGCTCTCCCTGGAGACCCACACTTGCAGCTGTGGGTGAGGCTTTCAACACTGCAGAGGGAGGTAACACCTACCAAATTGTGCCTAGAAGGAAAGAAGGCGGCAGCCACAGGGGACGTGCCCAGTGAAAGGAGACTATATAGCAGCCCTAACTAACTTGTTAAGTTCTGCTGTTTTTGGGCAAACCTCACCTTCCAACTCTCGATGCCTGCTGACGTGCTACAAATTTTGCACCATAAAAAAGCAAGTTTGTTTTTTCAGTAACATTTTGTGCTAGACTGTATTACTTCCTTCAATAGCATGAGAAAACAGAAGTACACAAAAAGAGTTTTACTGTGCACAAAACTGAGCTGAAGAAGCTCTTCTACATCGGCTACTCTCTCAGCCACACTCAAGAAGAATTCTCTGGGGTAATTTGGTATAGCGACAGTACTTTTGAATTTGATATAGTAGCACTACATTCCTCCCTTTCAAGGTGGGAAGGCTTTGTCCGGGTTCTTTATTACCTCTTTCACTCTTGTGCCTATCGAGGAGACAATCCCCAGCACGGGAGCAAGCCTGCCTCCCAGCCCGATCAGATGAAGGGACGACATCCCATTTGATGTCACACTGCAGAGCTACGTCCCCATATCATGTGCTCAGGAAGACTGAGGCTGCCAATGAAGGTGCAGGTGTATTAAAACACTTGGATCCTCTCCGTGCTCCCAGTTCTGGTGGGTGAAGTCGGATGGGCCAGGCAACCTGAAGCTCTTCCCTGGACATACACATTCGTAACAGCATGGCAGGGAAGCTTGATCTGGGAGGTTCTTGAGGGGAAGGGCTTGGGAAGGGAATTACACCTTTTAGCCGCACCCTCCCCTCAAAAACCAGGCCCAGGCATGAAAGTGAACTCCATCTTATTCCTCTCAAATTAATTATTATTCCCTCTCAGCATCTGTTTCTCATGCAAGCATCTGCAAACTCAGAAGAAATCATCAGCTGCATAAATGGAAAACAAAGTGTCTTCTCCAGCAATAGACACGTTATGTGTTTCACATTGGGACTGCATGTGGTCACAGTGTAAAAATATGACAACCTTACTGCCAACGTCTCTCATGTGGAAGTGCCATATGAAGGAAATTGCAAACATGGTTTGGAAATGGAGAAGGCTCTGCTGTTGTCATTACTTCTCCTGGCTCTTATCCAGTACTAAACTATCGCATTTTTGCTATAATTATAATATCAACCTCTTGCTAACTCATTTTATGATTTCTTCACTTCCAACTAGTAGTAACAGGCACAAACATTCCCTCATTCAAGCTGATTCCTTCTAAATTAAAATTCCAAGTGAAATAGACCCTTTGCTAATGTATTTATCAGAAAGTTATAAATACAAATTATCTTTAGTTTTTGTATCCTGATATTATTCATAGGGTTGCTGTTACTGTATGTCTTTCTTTGTTTTCCACTTACATAGCACTTTCAACCATGGAAAAGCTGGCACAAAATGGCAAAATATTTTTTGCTTTGTGTCCCGCAGCTACAATTAAGAATGCCCCAAACCCATTAATTACAGCATTGCTCTTTCCTG